AAAATTTTAGATTTAAATATTTGACATCCTTTATTATTATTATTTTTTTTTTGTTACCTCTCTCTTTTTTAAGTTCTAGCTAAGATCATAAGTTCTTTTTTTAGCTCATTCTTTGAATGTGTTGAGTTGGAATTTGAAAATCAGATCAGACTGATCCGTTAAATCATAAACTAGTCATAGAGAAAGTGTTTGCCTAAAAAGTAAACCTAAGAAGAGAGAGGTTCTAATCTTTAGCTTAGGGTATGCTTCCTGGAACAGCGCAGCTGCAGCTGAAAAACTGAGAAACTGCAGCTACGCAAAACAGAGCCTTAATCACAAAAGTCAACCGCATATGACTAAAATCTTGATAAAAAAGAGGAAAGTATATGAAATTTAAATTTATTCTCTTAGAATCAAGCCTGGATCACAACCATCATTAAGGAGTGCTTTGGCATTTAAAGAAATTGTTTTTGACAATTATTAGATGACTTTTTATATGTTGCATTCAATTTAATGCCTGCCTTAATTTTGTTTTTGCTCAAAAAAATAATTGATGCAATAGTTGCATTTTCTCATTTTCATGAACTATCTTCATATCATAGAATGAGAGTTATTTTATTGAAGGATAGCTAAAAGGAATGTAAGAAAAATTTTGTTGAGTCCTACATTGCTAAATGGAAAAAGATTGCCCACTGATAGCTTATGGCTGGACGAACATTAGATATAAAATATTGACAAACTTCGTAGTTTAGAATTCATTTGGAGTGATGTTCTTAAGGTCTACTGGCACTTACATATTAAGAATTATGATATTACTCTAAGCTCTTTATTTTTTGAAGAAATTGAGTATGTTTAGAGAAAGATATTCAACTTATGAATGATAATGCAAAAAAAAAAAAAAAAAAAAAAAAAAAAAGTAGAACAATTTATAAGAATTTGATAATATTTATTGGTCACTTAGGGCCTATTTGGGGCAGCTTATTTGGTGCAGTGGCATTTTGAAAATGCACCTTTGAAAATGCACCTGACACCTGACATGTTTGGGTAAACTGCATTTTGACAGCTTATGCGTTTTCAAAATGCAGAAACAACATTTTCACACTGCACGACAGCTTAATGGCAACAGTCTGGTTTTTCCAAAAAAATAAAAATTTATAATAGCCACCGCACCTAATTCATTAGCAGATTATTCAATAAGCTACAGCTGCCCCAAACAGACCCTTAGTGTTGCGTCCTGCTCACATTTAATTTTAAAAGATATGAATAGAACACCCCATCTGATGAAACTTGCTAGAAGTGCATCAATCTTAACAATTTTGTTTGTAATCATTTTTTATTGTTGTCTTGGCCTAGAAAAAAGAACTCGGTGCATTGAAATGGTGCATCATGGAGCTACCTTTTTTGCAAAGATTTTCATTACATTGATGTGTGCATAAGCATGATTTATAAGCAGTTGATATTAAGAAGCATGATGATGAATGATTCTTGGAAAAATTAGTAGAGGGAAAGCAATAATCTCTAGCATTTTGGATGATAAATTTTGGAATGATTATTTGATCATGTCAAAATTAAATAATCATTCCAAAATTACTAGGACTGCTAAAATGATTGCTATGAGTAGATGATTGTTATGAGTAATTGAATTTTCAATGAAAATTTATTTAATCATAAAAAATATGCTCTCTATCCTTAAAAAAAAAATCAGATGGTTGTCAAGACTAAGAAAGCCAATGAGAAAAAAAATCATGTCATTTTGATTTATATTTGAATTTCTATAAATTTTTTTAAATAATTTTAATATAAAAATACTTAGAAAATATGTTTCCTAACTTTATGCCTCAAATTTATTTTTCTTAAATGTCCCAGTCTTCCTTGACTTGCCACATTTTACTTTTTATTTTTGTGATATTTTTTTTAACTTTTTTATAATTACTTTATTAGAGCAGTAGCAAATATTACGAACATTTTGAGCTTTTGAAGTTAGAGAAACCATGTGACCTTGGAAAAATCAAAGAACATCCCTAATCACATGGGGAATAATTCCTCAAAATTTCATGCCATGATGATTTATAATTAATTTTAAATAATTAAAATATCATTTGGAGTATTTAATCACTTAAAAATTAATTATATAATAGGTATCTTTAATCTTTTTTATTTTTATTTTCTGCTCTATTTAATGAACTCAGAGGTGTTTTATTTATTTTTTTGTGGCTTTTCCTTACTGAGATATGAATTTTTGAAGTTAATATGTATTTTCTGGATTTATTTAATTTTAAAAACCCAAATTTCCTACTTAACCACATCGGCGTCACGTCATCATTAAGCTCGGCCTGCCTCACAATGTTATGACACGGACCGTAGTGCTATCTGATATGATCTACACTTTCCATTCTGAATACACGGAAATGAAAGACATCTGCTCATCATCCCCACGAGACTATAACCCGAGAACTGTTCATGTTCATACCCTAAGATCTCGCTCGATTCTCAACCAAATCACATGTGGTTTGTTTTCACACATTCATCTAAGTAAGACAAACCTATCTATACGGCTATATGGACATGAACTGTTGTGTCTCTTCACAAAAGCCCAAACTGAGACAAATTTGTGAGTTTTGAGCTTATACCTTTGTCCAGCAGGTTGGGAGACTCCTGTTGGCAGACTAAGGGAGCTCCATTGATCGTACAAAATAAATTGGGAAACACTAATTTTTTCCTCAACTTGTTACCCTTTTCATTCATTCAAAAGAACAAATAAATTGACTAAAATGATCAAAATTATAGTCTATAGCAGTTTTTCTACATTAACCCGATTAAGCCTATTCAATGATTACCCCACGCCCCTTACTTATATTGCGTAGGTCATGATTGTGTGATCACACAAGAATGGCTCGTCTTTGCATCTACTTGATCACGCCTCGCAATCCCCGCATGTTGCGCTATCCCACTAACATGCCCCCACCTTCGACCTAGATCTCACAAATTATGTGATCCATGAAAGGAATCACATTTCTGCACGATTCGCTGCCCACTATATCTGATCCGCATGACAAAATGATGTAGAGGATGCCATCCGTGCACATTGTCCTTAGGCCGCTCCGCTTTTCGGCCAATCCTCCATTCCACCCGACTAGTCCACTTTACCGACTCGACCGACTGGTTGACCTACTCCAACCCGCCAGCCCATTCCAGCACACCAACTTGCTCTGTCGACCTCACTGACCCCGCATTTACTATGGGAGGTTGCCACTCGCTGCCACTCGCTACGGCCGTGGGTCTGTTTGCCAGCATCTACTGATCGCCGCTACAATAGCCGCCGATCCCAGTTTAACACTACTAAAACTGCTGTCGTTGTCTGCTACCACCGCAAGAAAACTTCAAAATTTCCAAAATTTCATAAATTCATTATTTTGATAATTTTTAGATGAACAAACAAAAATACCTAAAAATTGGGGGCACTTGATACATGATCATCATTTTTTTTCAATTGTCACAAATCTTAGAGGCAAATAACACAAATATTGGAATATTTTTTTGATAAGAAACATTCATGATCAAATTATAAATCATCTAGAACCTTGATTTCAATAAACTTATAATTAAACTAAATGACTCGATTAGGTAGGCATAATGATGCTATGTTTTGCATAATTCGAGTCAGATCAAGCCATTAAGTCACTTTTAGAAGTATTTGGTGGTTAATTAAATGATCAAATGGATACTAAATTTGACAAATTTATAATCAAATTGAGCTTCTCGATAAGACGATTCTAACAAGCCCAATATCACTAAATTCTAGCATCATTAAGGTCTTTAAATGTCCACAAAATGTCGTCTGGTTAGAGGAATCTCTTCGGAGCATCTAATGGAATGATCTTGATTTTTTTCTTATTTGTATGGAGGCCACACACAAATTCTATAAATGGAACCATATTCTCTTCATGAAAGGGGATTAACCTCGAAATAGAGAAAGAGCTGGTTTGCGAAGGAGCTGGATTTTAGTGTTGTTTTAGACCGACAGCTCAACAAATGCTTTTCGCTACTATAATCGCAGACCATCATTGACCATCGCTCCCCGACCACCGTGGACCACCGTCGGTCACCTCCTGGTCGTTGCAACGAAACCCCTGGAGGAGCCGCGAAGTACGCTGCAGAGAAAGGAAGCACCATGTAGAGTAAAGACCAATATCACAGAGTAACAAGACACCATACAAAATCATGTGTCATCTTGAACACAGGTAACAACGCACCTCAAGGACAATTCACTAACGTCTAATCAACCACTCCCACAACAACGACTCTTGATTGTTATACAAGGAATCCTTCCACAAACAACTATTGTAGTTCGAAGAATTGAATAGCAATTTTCCGCATGAGGGACAAAGACCTGAGCTAGGCCTGTGACTTTTTCTCTTTTTGAGTTTTCAACGTAAAACTTTATGGTTTCTTTGCCTGTCACATCAATTATCTGTAAGAGTGCTAAACTTTTATGGAATACTTAGACACTAAATAATTACTTTATTGCTATCAATCTTCGCATTAGATATATATATATATAAAAAATTACATGCATACTAAATAGTTATTATGTGTTTACATATTTAACACCAAAAGTTTGATATTTATATTTACAACAGTTTGTTGTCGTAAACTCATGCACGAAAAGTTGTATTTCGCTTTTAAAGAGTTAAGTTATTTGAGGAAACAGTTGTGACGCTATTGCAGGAGAAATTGTTTTTCAAAAAATAACGATGACTATTACAAATTTATTTTATTTTAGCCACTATACTTTAACAGCTCAAGTTGAAAAAAATAATATTCTACCCCATAATTTTTTAAAAATGTCAATAAAACAGTTCCCAAATAAACTTATGGTGGCAATGTAAAAAATAAAACAAAATCAAAAGAATTCCCATAATAATAGTGGAGATGTAAGGTTAAAAATTGAGTTGCATGCCTATCACTAATAAATATCAATTTTTTGGTGCTGGATGAGTAACTATTATCAAATTTATGGTATATGTAAGCAAATCTTCCAATGCAAAATTGGGATGGTTAGCAGCCACAGCCAGGAATCGAGCCATAGCCATCGACAATAGCTGCGCACAGGAACAAGAAATTGCAGAGAAAAACATGCTTCAGATCCGGCTGAGCAAAGGTCCTACGTCGGACGGTGGTGGAGGTCCGGCGAGACCCGCACCGCTACTGGAGACGGTGACGGTGGCGTGTCCGGAGCACCTTGTGATCGCCGATCTTCCTGAGCGTCGGTGTATTTACCGTCGCTTTTGCTTCCTCTGGCCGCAACATGGGCCGCCGATCGCGCCGTCAACTTGGAGACAGGATTCACTTCTGCGTCCGCTGCGATTTCCCAATTGCCATATATGGCCGCCTTGTAAGAACCCTCTTTCGCATAAAACCCTCTTGTCCGTGTCGATTTCAGGACAGTGAGATTGGTCTGGGGTCTTATGCTGGGTTTTGATGATTCTGTTGTTAGAAATTTATGTGTTGAGGTTAGGTTTATTGGATTTTAGTTAATGATTAGCTTGAGTGATCCTAAATTTTTGATTGACGGCATGATTTTATTTGGTTTGTATGGAGAGAATTGATTGTTTTGTTGGTGGGACTTCTCAATCTCCAATTATGGCCTCCTCGTAAGAACCTCTCTGTGCACAAAACCACTACGAGTATCTTTTTCTTGTAAAAAAAAGTAATTTTTTGCCTCTCTATTGCTTGAACGAGATGCTTTCTTATATCTTTATTCTCTTTAATTAGTTTCTTATGTCAGTACATAAGAATTCAGCGGTACGTATGGAAATCCCCACTAAATATATTATTTATTATTTTTTAGGACGAATGGGGTTTGAGTTTTAGTTGGGGTTGGAAGATTTGGCGTTGCTAGTAACTCCTCTAATGATGTTAGTCTTATTGGATTCAGTTAGTGGTTTCTCTTAGGCAGATTGAATTGTTGATTGGATTCTTAACAGTATTTGGAGCATTTGGAGAGATTTGATATTTTTCTAGTGATTATTGAATTCTAGATGCTATTTAGGCCAAGTAATTATTGGAGGAGATAGGACCCATTTATGCTTCTTGAAGTTATGCTGTTTTCACAAAACCTTTCTTTGTGTTACTGTTTGAGACTTTGGTTACCTTGCTTCATGTTGTGGTTGCTTTAAAATGCACTGTTTTTGCCTCTCCATTGCTGTCATGAGAGCTTACAGACTATTTGGTTGCACGAATTTCAAATTCATTTATTTTCAAAATAAAGAGTAAAGTAGAAGAGATATATTCTAAGTACTCTGAATTATATGATTGCCTGTAAAATTAATTCAAGGGATTTTTTTTTTTGCTTGCATGTAAATTATAGAGTTTAGCACATCACCGAAATGCAGTGCTAAGATTACCTCCTCACTCTTTCTACGTTAAGGAACCCAACATTTGTGATACTTAAGTTGGTTATATGTCTAATATTATGGATCCTTGTTGGTTTTTATAATCACTTGTTTAATGCTGCAAACTATTGCAGGTTTACTACTTGCTCTCAAATATTTATTGCTGATCATTCTAGTTGTCAAAATGCACTGTCAAAATATTGTCTCTCATCCTTTCATGTTCTACCACACTTTCATGGTTGCACTTGGTATCCCTTTTAGAATCTATAAAGGCCTTAAGGCTACGATGAGGGTTAATGATGATTATGAGTTAATGATTTGATAGTTCTACATTGGAGTTGTAGGGGTTTGGGGAGCTGAAACACAAGAGAGAAGCACACACATGGTATCTGGAGTTTGCACAAATTAAGTGAGAATACAATAAATGCTCTTTTGATATATTACCATACCACAAACTCTTACGATGTATTTTTTTCTTTACTTCAGACCAAAAAAACTCAAAAAAAAAAAAAAAAAAAAAAATGCATGTAAATGAAATGCAATAAATGCATCCTACTTACGAACGAACAACCCTATAAATTTAACCATTTCAGGAGTGGGAGGTGGGTTTTAGGTTGCATTTTGGGGTTAAAAGATTTATCATTGTTAGTTATTTGTGTTGCATATATTTTTCAACCAACTTTGTAAAGCTATATAGACTATTATCATCCATTTGAAGATATTCCCATATATCTCACACTTGATCTCTCATTTTATACTTTTTAGCCGCCTTCCAAGATTTATGTGTTAATATTTTTGTTAACCAATACTCTTTTGTGATGACTCACGAAGGCCTACACACATATGCTAATGTTATTAGTGCATTACCAAATAAAGAATCAGTTTTTTGAATTTAGGAGTTCATAATAATTCATCCATTTGTTTTTAAAACAGGTTAGTCACTAGACTCTAATAATTATAAATTTGGTAATTATTCTTTTTTTTTTACCTGAAAAATATGTTGGCAATGTACAATGCTACAAGAAGTGCTGGAACCATCATTCTACAAGCATTTTATGTGAATTCCTAAGTGGAAATCCAAGAATATGCCATTCCACTAATATAGTTCTCTCAGGGATAATAGATTGTGTAACATTTATTTGAACTAAGTGCATATAGTATAATGTTAAATTTTGTGAAATTCAATGATAATCTAATCATGCATAAGACATACAAAAATAATTCTATAATAGATGGTTTGGATAGTGGGATATATGAATTATTCTCATTATAGAAGCATTTAATTTGAATGAAATTTTAGCACATATATAAAAATATTCTTATGATAATTTTAACACATACATAATGCTTATTTCTTCATCTAGTTTGATGGACAATCAAACTTTTATGAACAAATTATCAGTTAGGTCATTGAGTTATTCTAATGTCGTAGTCAACATTAATTATTTCGATCTTTCATTTAAAGGTAATAACATAGAAAAAAAATAATTAGAGGGTTTTATTTGTTAATATCCTATTAATTTAAATTTTTTCAAGTAAAAATGAATGAATTCTATAACATTTTTTTTTATAAATTTGCATATATAGGTGAAGGGACAAAAATAATGCTGCAAATAGAACAGTGATGAACTAAAATTTAAGGACATGATGATACAACAACAAAAAAAAAAAAGCAAATTCCAAATTTAGATTTGCAATGCCGAGGCACTATATTTTGCAACATCAACGTACTACCCTATAGAATTGAAAATCCATAATTAACAGAGAGTACACGTCTATGCGCTACACTCTGCAATATTATGGCGCTATACTTCGCAACACCACAACACAACACACCCAATCTAGAAATAAAGAAGACAATGTTAAAATGTTTGATCAAAATGTTGTTTTGTTGCATCCAATTCATAAATTAGAGAGCATAGTGCTGAGGTGCTATAGAGTTAGAGCTGGCGCACTACAACTTGAACTAGTTTAGTTTTAAAGTCATTTTGAGTTGGTTTAGGGGGTTTAATTAAGCAGTCATTGATGAGTTTTCGAATTAGCAACCAGGGGGGTCTAAGGCTAAGGACTTGAGGGGAGACTTTTTGAGAGTGATGTGAGTGTACTTGTGGAGTGAAAAGATTGTGTATGAGAGTGATAGAGCACTTCAAAAAGACCAAGGAGAAAAAAAGGAGAAAAAGTAGAAGAGAGTCTAAGGGAAGAATTGTTATTTGAACCTAATTTTTTTTCCTTCCCTTTTTTTTTGTATTATTAAAATTTTTGAAACAATGCTTGAATATGTTTGTATATTTTTTTTCCGTATAATCATCAGTTAAGCAGTGGTAATTAGAATCTCATAAGTTGACAGATGGATCTTATATGAATCGTATGATGAAGTACCACGTGAGTGGATATATAGGAATCCAAATCTGCCGAATCACTCATGTTATGATCTTCTACATCCTAGGTCTCCCCGTTCCGTCATCTGGCTTATGTTCTTCATGTAGCATTCAGACCGGATGACTCTATGAAATTACGTCGATACTTCCACATATTACGGGTAACGTAGGAGACATCTCTATTTTTCCCCGGAGGGTCTTTCTAATTACCACTGCTTAACTTTCAATTCGCCTCTGACCATCAAATGAAATGTGAATAACCCGTCCTCCTCTCTTTGAAACAAGGGGCGCTTCCGGTTCTGTGCGCGCTTCAAACAATTTTGTCTTCTCCATATTACCATATCTCTAGAGTCAATAATTTTCTATGAGGAACTACTGAACTCAATCACTTGCTGCCGTTACTCAACAGTTTTCTGTTGAGGTCTATCCCGTAGAGGTACTCCAATTGGATCAGTGATCGATTTCTAGGTTTCGTCGTAAACCTAATTGGTTACTTCCAATTACGTAAATCAATAGTTCAAACCGCACTCAAAGGTAGGGCATTTCCCATTGATATAGGAACTTCTGTACCAGAAACAATGGTATCTCCAATTATAGCCCCTCTGGGATGTAAAATATATCTCTTCTCACCATCCCCATAGTGTATGAGACAAATGTATGCATTTCGATTAGGGTCATATTCTATGGTTACGATTCTACCAGATATCTCTTTTTCATTCCGTCGAAAGTCGATTTTACGGTATAGACGCTTATGACCTCCCCCTCTATGCCCTGCGGTAATGATCCCTCTAGCATTACGACCTTTACCACAACGATGCTGTCCATAGATCAAATTATTTCGTGGATTGGATTTCACTTGACTGTCTACGGCTCCATTGCGTGTGCTCGAGGTAGAAGTTTTAGATTTTGCTTTAGCGTTTGATTTTGTTTTTACTAATATTTTATTCAAGAAAAGGGATGAACATCTTATTACTTATAAGAGTGGATCTAATAAAACACAAATTGATTATTTTCTTATGAGAAGAGGTGATCGTCGTGATTGTAAAGTTTGTAAAGTCATTCCAAGTGAAAATTTAAATACCCAACCTTGTTTATTAATTTTAGATTTTAAGATTAAGAGTTGTAAAATAAAAAATACTAGGACTCATCATTGCAGAATTAGATGGAGAAACTTAAAAGATACAAATAAAATTAATTTTATGAGTAAAATTCAAGTTTTCAAAATTTGGGATATTCATGAAAAATCAAATGTGATGTGGGATAAAGTAACAAACGCTATTAAACATGTAGCAAAAGATGTTCTTGGAGAATCAAAGGGAAAAATATTTACAAATAAAAATAGTTGGTGGTGGAATAATAATGTGCAAGAAAAGATAAAATATAAGAAGTTATGTTATAAAAATTGATTTAAATGTAAAAGCTTAGAGAACTAGAGAAAATATCAAACGGCCCGCAGGGAGTCTAATAGAACAATTTGTGACGCTAAAAATTCTGCTTTTAATGATCTTTATAATAGATTAGATACTAAGGAGGGTGAAAAATATATGTATAAACTAGCCAAACAAAGAGAAAAGAAAAGTAAAGATTTAACTCAAGTAAAGTGTATTAAAGATGAAAATCAA